CAGGAAGCAGCCCGTGGCAGCTGTCTAACTCCCAGGTACCATGGTCCCAGGTGGTACCCAGGACCACCATCTTGAGGTTATCTTGAGATGATTTCGGGGCTTTAGTGCCCCCGCGGCCCGGTCCTCGACCAGGCCTCCACCCCCAGGAAGCAGCCCGTGACAGCCGACTAACACCCAGGTACCTATTTACTGCTAGGTAACAGGGGCATAGGGTGAAAGAAGCTCTGCCCATTGTTTCTCGCCGGCGCCCGGGATCGAACTCGGGACCACAGGATCACAGAGACCATGGTCACATTTATCAAAGGCTTTTGGGGAATTTGTGTAAATTACATCAGCATTTTTTTTGTTTTCCGTGGCATCTGAGGCCATGTTATAGTGGGAGCTGGGGTCGGCCGAGCGGACAGCACACTGGACTTGTGATCCTGTGGTCCTGGGTTCGATCCAGGCGCGCGGCGAGAAACAATGGGCAGAGTTTCTTCACCCTATGCCCCTGTTACCTAGCAGTAAAATAGGTACCTGGATGTTAGTCAGCTGTCACGGGCTGCTTCCTGGGGGTGGAGGCCTGGTCGAGGACCGGGCCGCGGGGACACTTAAAGCCCCGAAATCATCTCAAGATTACCTCAAGATTACCTCAAGTGGTCCAGCAACTGTGACAGGCAAGAGCGCCCAGTTCTGAAACCCATGTTGTCCAGGGTCCAGATTCACGAAGCAGTTACGCAAGCACTTACAAACCTATCCATCTTTTCTCAATCACTGGCGGCTTTGTTTCCAATTATTAAACAGTTAATGAGCTCCGAAGCACCAGGAGGCTGTTTATAACAATAACAACAGTTGATTGACAAGTTTTCATGCTTGTAAACTGTTTAATAATTGTAAACAAAGCCGTCAAAGGTTGACAAAAGATGTACACGTTCGCAAGTACTTGCGTAACTGCTTCCTGAATCTGGCCCCTGGCTTGTGGAGATGCTGTGATTCCATGTGTTTTGTGATCTTATTTCTTATCGCATTTTCAAAATTTGTTATGATATGTGATGCTTTTATCTCTGCTTTATTCCCTCCTTTATGTAATGGTGTTATCTCTGCTGTTTTTAGTATGTCAGGGATAACTGGAGTGTCTAGACTGCCTTCAAAATTTGTGGGGGGTTTGTATTAGTAGTTTGTTCACAGTTGTTAGTGAATATGGCGTTCCAGGTATGGGTGGAGAAGCAGGAACTGGGGGTGTTGGGGTGTGGGGAGGGTGTGGGGGGGAGGGGGGAGTTAAAGTTGGAGCAACTTTAAGCAGCCCCACCCAAAGACCCCATCACCCCATTCACAGATGTTCCCCACCACGCCCTCTCTCCAACACCACTCCCCCCCCCCCAGCCAGAAAGAGCAGGAAGGGCGGGAAAGTCAGTATCTGGACTACTTGATGCCCGGCCACACATCAATCATGCCCAGTTAGAACAGGTTGGGCAGGGCCGTGTGTGTGTGTGTAGGAGGAAGCAGAGAGAGCATCATGGCCGCGCGCTGAGACCATACACCACGTGGCCGACTCCGACAATCAATACCCCCAGACACACACACACACACACACACACACACACACACACACATGTACACACAGCTACACGCCCACACTCCCCCTCCCATCTTCCCTACATCCCCCCCCCCTCCTCCCCCCTCTTCCTCCCAGACAACGCCCAGACGCAACATTGGCGTCACACGACGCTAGTGACGCCCACGCCCACCACCTGGCGCCAAGTTTCCTCTCATCAAAGCCTTGTGACATCTGTCTCTTGTTGTTGAAGCATTCAGCTACTGGCAACTTAAAGTTCCAAGTAGCACGGGCTATGGCGATCCCGTGGTGGACTTACCTGGCACAGGAGCGGTGCCTTGGGACATCTGCCTGTTGTTGTTATAGATTCAGCTACTCGGAACTAGTTCCAAGTAGCACGGGCTATGGTGAGCCCCTAACTTACCTGGCACAGGAGCGGGGCAAGTAGCACGGGCTATGGTGAACCCGTAATGGACATCTGCCGGCTGCCTGCGTTTATATAACGTCAAGTATGGATTACTGATCCATCAATCCACCCCTCTCCACCATCCTCCTCCTCCTCCCTCCTCACCATCCTCCACCACCTGCCTCACTTACGGGCTCACCATAGACCGTGCTACATGGACACTTCGTCCTGAGTAGCTAAATCTTTAACAACAACAAGAACAACAACAACCTGCCTCACACAACACATGCAGGCAGGAACACACGCAAGGGGGGGGGGCGGGGGGGCGGGGCTATACTTTTGTATTACGACTGTGTTTCATCAGCTTCCGGAAGTTCCTCACAGATGACTTATTCGTCAGTCATGTGTGCGTGGCCACACCTTGTGTCGTGGCCACACCTTGTGTCGTGGCCACACCTTGTGTCGTGGCCACACCTTGTGTCGTGGCCACACCTTGTGTCGTGGCCACACCTTGTGTCGTGGCCACACCTTGTGCCGTGGCCACACCTTGTGCCGTGGCCACACCTTGTGTCGTGGCCACACCTTGTGCCGTGGCCACACCTTGTGTCGTGGCCACACCTTGTGTCGTGGCCACACCTTGTGTCGTGGCCACACCTTGTGCCGTGGCCACACCTTGTGCCGTGGCCACACCTTGTGTCGTGGCCACACCTTGTGCCGTGGCCACACCTTGTGTCGTGGCCACACCTTGTGTCGTGGCCACACCTTGTGTCGTGGCCACACCTTGTGTCGTGGCCACACGGGATACAGGGAAGAAACATACACGGGGAAGATGCTGGAGGCCCGGGTGACACATTTGCACAATAGAATAACATACTGGAGCGAAAGATACGGAAGGAAATGCAGAATAGAACCAGTGAAGAGCGGAGGTGCCATCTATCTTGAGGTTATCTTGAGATGATTTCGGGGCTTTAGTGTCCCCGCGGCCCGGTCCTCGACCAGGCCTCCACCCCCAGGAAGCAGCCCGTGACAGCTGACTAACACGCAGGTACCTATTTTACTGCTAGGTAACAGGGGCATAGGGTGAAAGAAACTCTGCCCATTGTTTCTCGCCGGCGCCTGGGATCGAACCCAGGACCACAGGATCACAAGTCCCGCATGCTGTCCGACCGGCCATAGACACAATCAGAGAACCTCCTCCTCCAAACAAGGATTGGAGGTTAACCCTTAACACCTCAATCAACAAATCAACAAGGACTGTGACGAGGATTCGAACCTGCGTCAGAGAGCATCCCAGACGCTGCCTTAATCGACAGAGCTACGACATGATCAAAAGAGTTGATGCATCACGTTATTGGGATGTCTGTGTGTCTTAACAGCTCAAGTTACCGCTACACAAGTCTCACCCTCGGCCACACTAGCAGCACCCTGGAACCACGCTCCAGGTAAACCACAGATAACCCGCTAACCAATCCGTTAAAAACGAATCCTATTTCTACAATTTATACTACAATAATAGACATTTTCCGCTCAGCAACCTCCATAAGTTTAAACAAAATAAACGCATTTTTTAACGGATTGACAAATTAAATGAAAGCCGTGAGCCCTGACTGGCCAATCCTGGTGTTTAGCTTTAATTGGAAATTAGTTTACAGGATTAGGATACAGGATTATGCTGGACCCACAAATTAAATTTTACAGGTGGACCAGCCTGAGGCTTAGGCTTAGACCCAGAAATATTTTAAGTCTAACCCATCATGGGGGTATTATAGGTGTATATGATAATGTCAAATTGTAGTGGAGGAGAGAGGTGAGATGGATGACTCCCTCTCGGTGGTGGTGGTGTGGAGCCAGGCCAGCTGTGACGCCACCACTTGTCAACACCAAACCTTCTCCAACACTGCTACCAGCTGCACCCCGCCACAACTCAGGTCTGCCACGACACAGAGAGGGGAGGGGAGGATAGAGAGAGAGAAGGGGAGGATAGAGAGAGAGAAGGGGAGGATAGAGAGAGAGAAGGAGAGGGAGAGAGAGATAGGGAGGGAGGAAAGGCCTCCCCCAGTATTGACTCAAGGGGTGCCACTATTACAACCTATCCCCCTCATAGAGGCTTTTGCTAGCCTCTCACCACGGATAGAGGGGCAAGGATAGAGGCCAGGAGAGCAAGGATAGAGAGGCCAGGAGAGCAAGGATAGAGAGGCCAGGAGAGCAAGGATAGAGGCCAGGAGGTCAAGGATAGAGAGGCCAGGAGGGCAAGGATAGAGGCCAGGAGGGCAAGGATAGAGAGGCCAGGAGGGCAAGGATAGAGAGGCCAGGAGGGCAAGGATAGAGGCCAGGAGGCCAAGGATAGAGGCCAGGAGGGCAAGG